GATACAGCTTCCCCAACTACTATGCTACAGGACCAACCCAAAACCTGTTTTAGATGAGACTGCTCAAAGAATATGATAATAAATATGTATTGCTTTAAACAATTAAGTTTGGGGTCATTTGTTATAGGAGAAATAAAACACCCATGTACAGATTGACATAGAATAGAACGCTATGAGACATAGCAATGAGAAGCTACAGGACTGGAGCAATGAAAAGACAAGGGGAATCAGAACTGGATCAAAACAGAGAAAATATCAAGCTAAACACCGCTATAGCTTGAGTATTTGTGTCCCCTCCAAAATTCATGTTGAACCTGACTCCCCAGTTCAACAGTACAGGTACATTAACTTAATGATGGTCTGGTTCACATTTCTTTGACTTCATAATGGTGCAAAAGTGATAGGCATTTACTATTTTTTGACTACTAATACTTCAAATTAAGTCAGTTTACTTTTGACTTGCAATAGTTTTTTTTTTCTTTTCTTTTTTCTTTTATTGTTTACAGAGGGCACCTATACTCATGAGAGAAAGAAAAGGAGAAAAACACCTTTCAGTGGGGAGAGGTCACAGTGCACTTCTTTCTCCTCCATTCCTTCTTTCCGTCAGAATTCTGAGCATGCATGCACATGCACCTGGTGTGTTTTTCAAAGCTGCTGGAGCTAGAACTTGAACCTTAGTCAGCCACATGGGATCTGGATTCCAATGAACAGCTCTTAACTACTACACTATGGGGCCAGTTCTTGACTTACCATGTTTTCAATTTCTGATTGGTCTGATGGGATGTATCCCCACTGTTGGTTGAAAAACATCTGCATCAAGAGGTGGGTCCTTTAGGAGGTGATTAGGACATGAGGGCTCCACCTTCATGAATGAAATTGGTGTCTTATAAAAGGGCTAGAAGGAAGCACAGCATCTGTGGTACAGTTGGCAGCGTACCAGACTGAAGGTCTAGAAGTCCCATGGAGGACTGGCTTGAATCCTCAGCTAGCTTCACCTGGGACATGCTGGGTACACATGCATGTCCAGGATCCTGACAAACTGGAGGCCTGGGGCAAGGAGATTATGGCTTGAGCAGACCCTTGGAAAGTGTTTTTCTCTCTCTGTCTCTCTTTCTCTTGTATGCACACACATACTCTCTGTCATGAAGAAAACATAAACTAAAAACTTACAAAAAGAAGACTGAGAAAACTAGCTTGATCCTTGTTTTTTCCCACTTCTGTCTTCCTCTATGTGAGAACATAGCAATTAAAAAAGCACCACCCTGGATGCAGAGAGTGGCACTTACCAGACACTGAATCTGCAAGTGTCTTGATCTAGGACTTCCTTCCCTCCAGAACTGTGATAAATGAATTTATATTATTTATATATTACCCAATCTCAAGTGTTTTGGTATAGCAGTACGAACAGACCATGATAAACACTAAATTTTATCACTTTCCTGTGAGATGGCTAATTGGCATTTCTGTGGGAATTTACTGTGTATTTTTTACAGCTCAAAATGTGCATCAGCCAGTATTCTCAAAAGTAACAAAAGCAATAGGAGATATTGTGTGTGTGTGTGTTCATTTTAAGGAATTGTCTTATACAATTGTGGAGGCTAGCAAGTCAGAAGTCTGTAGGTAAGACTTGAGTCTGAATTCTGCAGGGTGGCAGTTTGGAAATTCAGGCAGGGTTTGTATGAGGGGACTTCTGTCTTTAGAAAACCTCAATCTTTGCTTTTAAGGTCTTCAATTGATTGGATGAGCCCCACCCATATTTTGGAGAATAATTTTCTTTACTCAAGGCCACCGATTTAAATGTTACTCAATCTAAAAAAAAGTACTTTTACAGAACATCTAGACAGGGTACCATAGACTGATCAAGTTGACACATAAAATTAACTATCACAATGTTCTCATGTACATTTAACTCATGAAATTAAATCAGAATACATACATCAATTATCAGCAAATATTTTGTGGGGGCCTCTCACAACTTGCATGGCCGAATGTGTTTTTGAGTGGGAGCAGCTGTGGACTGGAAACAGATACACGCAGACACATGAGTGTGAAAAATGGGGACTCCTCTGATGGAGGCAGCTGTGGTTCTGAGTCATTTCTAGGTTTATTGTTTAAAAGGTAAAGAGAGGGGAGGGAGAAGCAGAATGTAGAGCCAGTTGTTTTCAGATGTTAATTGATTGAAGATGTGAATTCTGGCACCTTGTAGTCTGATAGGAGCTTTCGCTTATCTTCTCAAAGGTTTTTGTAACCAACATGGCCTTGCAGGGTTGACCACAGAAGGTAAAAGCGTATTCTTGTTAAAGCTTTCACTAACCCTGAAGCGTTAGCACAATAGCCACATTTCTGCTTGTGTTTAAAGGTCACTATTTTATTGCTCAGATCTGGCCACTCCTTACATTGGCCAGAGGGTGGCATAGTGGTTGAGGTGCTAGATTCCCATGTGGTCCACCGTGGTTCGAGTACCAGGACATGTGACTTGAAACTCATGCCAGGCACATGTGTGTGCAAGCCCAAAATCCTGGGAGGATAATGGAGAAGGAACTGCAGCATGGCCATCCCCCCAGGGGTGATTTATCACTTTCTCTCTGTCTCTCTGGCAAGCGCATGTTCCCTATAGCAAAAATCTTTCAAAAATGTGTTGTGTGTGTGTGTTCATCAACTTGCCTTACTAGTGTTTAAGTCAAGGTTTTTGACTTGGAGTCCATGGACCCTTAAAGGATTGCCCCCCCATCTTTAGTTGGAGAGAGAAGGTTCATGAGAATATTCCAATTACAGACAGCATTTTGGGTAATGAATGTTTATGAATTTTTCTGGGGAGAGGTCCAGAGCTCTCACCAGATTCTCAGAAGAATCTAGAATGATTTGAGACAGGCTAAAAGGTTAAAGAACCAATATAGACATGTTTACACTGAGTGAATGATTTTTGAAATTCTGATGTACTGAACTAGTAGCACCCTTATGCATGGCTCTGGGAGTTACTCATTACACAAATAAAAAGCGCCCACTTTTTACCAACTGTATGTAATAGATTAAATATTTATCTTTGTTTTCAAAGTGTCTTTTCATATCTTACTCTGATTATATCCACCACAGAGATGAAAAATTCCATAGTTCAGTCCAAAGTGAGATTTTCAGAAGCAAGTTTTAATCATTATAGTTTTGGGGGTGAGCAAGTTAAATATATGGTACTGGCAGCAAACAGCAGTGAAGAGCCTTCCAGGGTCTTCCCATGTCTTAGAGTGAGAAAGAACACTACCCTACAAACGCCACACGTAGCAATTTGGCAAATGTGAGAAGCCAGCAATATGTCTCCAAGGCTCTGAGAGTGGCCTAAGTGTCATTTAAATGATCACATCAATAAATAGAAGAAAGCAGTTTCAGATTGCAAAGGGGCTGATTGATAGATACTGTGCTACAAAATATTGTAATTATGGACATAAGACTTATACATTTGTCAAAACTCATAGAATCATATATCACATACAGTGACCTTAGCTGCATGTAATTTATTTTTATGTTTTTAATTTGCTCTAGGACATGTGTACCTGCCAGTGAGAGAAAGAAGAAAGTGAGAAAGTACCCCCTAGGGGGACGGCCAACCTCAATCCCTTGCTACTCAAGTGTCACTGATTCTAGGCCTGATCAGTGAACAGAGCTAGCATGCGTACATGTGTGTATGCTAACTCATGTAAACAGAGCTACATTTATTTCTTTTCTTTTTTTTTTATTTGCTAGAGAGTGCATGTGCTCATTGAAGAGGGGAAGAGAGAGAGAAAAGGAGAGTGATAAAGCCTCCCTCTCCCATTGGGGATGGTCACACTGCAATCCCTTCTCTTCCATTCCTTCCTTTGGGATTTTGTGCACTGGGTCTGGGACTCGAACTGCCCAGTCGGTTATGTGGCATCTAGCTGCCTTAACTGTCACACCAGTGCCTGGCCACCTTATTTTCAATGTATTCATTTACATGTGTTATATTTCCAAGTGAAGATACTTAGTATGTGGAGTTTAGAGAAAAGGATAACCCTGGATGTTTAAATTTGAGAGCTGACAGCATTTGTATGACATCTAATAAACAGACTGAATGAAAGTACCGGCCTTAATCCTTAAAGTAAATTTTTAGCAAAACTTAATTTTTTTTCATTTCTGGATAAATGCATTTAAAAAACATACATATATATTTAGAAATGCTCATATGCTCATATTTTCTTCCCACACATGCTCTGGAATGCTGGCCTCTCACTTTGCAGAGCACTGTTCATAGAGGAAGCCCAAGAGCTGAGTTCTAAGAACATGCATTTTCAATTTTACAGCAAATTACCAAATCGTCCCTCTAAGTACAATATACTAATAGTGGATGAGCAGTTTAGGAAAGAGTTCCCATCTCTTCAGTACCACCATAGGCTTTATATCAGTAGTCTGCACGTCGTCGGTGGGCTGACCTCTCCCCTCAGGAACCAGATTCTGGCTTTCACTGGCTATCTATTTCTGAAAGATATTTGCCATAGGGCAGATGTGTGCTTGCCAGAAAGACAGAGATAGAGAGACAGAAAGCAAGAAATCATACCCCAGGGAGGATGGCTACACCTTCTCCTCCATCCTCCTTCCAGGATCTTGGGCAAGAATGCCCATATGCCTGGTCTGAGTTTGAAGCCACTGGGTCCAGGACTTGAACTGCAGTTAGCCATGTGGGAGTCCAGCAATGTAACCGCTATACCATCTGCTGATCCCTTAACAAGCTACCTTATTAAATGAGAAACCCCTACTCTCACTATTGCTCCTCAACATGTAATTCTTTCATTTACCTTAATAACCTTAGATGATATGGGCACAAGGCTTTTGATCCTTTAGAGTCCTTCAGAATATGACAGAGAAGTAAAATAAAGGTTTGGGCCCATAGTTTAACATGGGTTTTTATCATTTATTCTTTTCTGATCCCTAATGAATGTTTTAAACTTAATCACACAATGTTAAGACAGTTTCCCCAGGCGCCCATAGCATACCTTACTACCTGGCTCAGAAGCAGGCCTTCAGTAAATATTTGCTGAATGAACAGAAGGAAACTGTCACTATGCAGCCATGTGACCTTGTGGAGATACAGGGCTTCTCTCTTAAGCCTTCTCTCTTGCTTTCTTCTCCTACATGAGTTAAAATTCTCATCAGTTCTACTTCTTTTTTTTTTTTTCTTTGCCTTTTCAATTGCCAGAGAGCACATGTGTTTCTGTGTGAAAGAAAGAAAGAAACCCTCAGTCAAGTATTGTCATACTGCAATCATTTTTCCTTCATTCCTCTGTCTTGTCAGCATTTTCGGCATGCACGCATGTGTACACATACCTGGTGTGTTTTTCAAGCTGCCAGGCTAGGATTCAAAACATGGTTGGCCATATGGGATGTGGGTACCAAGAAATTGTGCTTAACTGCTGTGCTAAGGGATCAGCTGTCTGCAAATTCTACTTCTGAGCTCTCTTTTGTGGCTCTAGCCTCCTCTGCACTCCCGCTACAATTGCCCCAAATCATGGCCATGTTTCCCATCCTCCCACTCCAAGTCTTTTTTTTTTTCTTCCAGTTCAACCTCCACATGGCTACCAAACTTATCCTTTTAAAGTGCCAATAAAATTACATTAACCTTAAAAAAGAATAAATAGTGGGGCCAGCAGCCAGCGGGTGGTATAGTGGTTGAGGTGCTAGACTCCCACATGGCAAACTGCGGTTTGAGTCTTGGACCTGGAGGCTTGCTTTCTTGCTCCACCCTGCCCACCATCTCTCTCTAGTCAAATTAAAGAAAAAAAATAGCGATAATGAATAAAATAAAATAACTCTTTAAAGAAATACCACAATGGGCACATGTGTGTGCATGTCTACAATCCCAAGAGGAAATGGAGGAAAAGTAATTGCTGCATGATCATCTCCTCTGGGGAAGGGTTGATTTCTCACTTTCCCTCTCTCTGTCTCTCTCCAGCAAGTGCATGTGCCTCATGGAAAAAAAAATTTTAAAAAGGGGTGGGGGAAATCAGTAGGGTATGGTTTGCATGGTTTTTCATAATCTTGTTTCAATCTATTTTTCCAACTTCAGCTCTTACTACTTCTCATCTATCTCAAACTCAACCAAAAAATCAACTATTTATTACAATCTTGCTGCTTATTGTTTCATGCTTATGTCCCATGCCACATTCACATGTGCTATTTTGAAAATACTCATTTGCTAACATTCCTATTCACTTTTTTGGGATTCAAATCAAATATTACCTCCTCTGTGAAGCCTTCCTTCAACTCCCTCTGCATGTCCACAGAAGTTTATACTGACTCTTGGTATAGTAGTTTTATTTTATTATGTTTATCTTTTTAGCCATCTCAAACAATGCTGTATTTAATATATATACAAGCTGTAGATACAAGCTTGTACCTAAGCTATATATAATTTAACTTTTCTAGTAGCCACTGTAAAAAAGTAAAATATATAAAAGTAAAATATATTTTATTTAACCCAATATATCTCAAATATAATTTCAACATGAAACTAACATAAAATTTGTTATTTTATTTTATTTTTTGCCAAGTCTTCAAAATGTGGTGATTTGGGCAAACCAGGTAACGTAGTGGCTAAGGCAGCTGTATCACATGTGGCCGACTGTGTGGTGCAAGTCCTGAACCTGGCGGCTTAAAAAACGTGCTGAGCATGTTTGTGTGCATGCCTAGAATCCTGAGAAGAGAATGGGGGAGAAGGAATCATGGTGTGGCCACTCCCAGCATGTGATTCCTCACTTTCTCTCTGTCTTTCTCTCTCTGGTGAACGCACACACCCTATAGCAAAACCTAAAAGAAATACATAGTGGTGTTTTAGTTATACTTACAGCATACACCAATCTGACCAGCCATATTTCAGTGCTCAGTAGCTACATGAAGTTAGTGGCTTCCATATTCGACAGCTAGTGGGAGCTTTACGAAGGGTCATATGTTGTTCCGCTTTGTATTCTCAGGGGCTGACTTATAAGGTATGTCCGATAAATGCTTTTAAACGAATGAACGGGTGAACAATGATAAAAAGAACTAGTTTGATTACTTACTATGTGAAAGGTGTTGTGATAAGTAATATAAATGTTTATTACTTTCCTTAACAGTAAATGGTTGGTTGGCATTCAATAGCTACTGCATAGTCATTAAGTAATTAGGTAGCCTTCCGAGCGCGCGTGCCTGTGTGTCTGTATTTGTAGTAGTTTCTCTTCCTTTTTTCCTTCCTTCCTTCCTTCTTTCCTTCCTTCCTTCCTTCCTTCCTTCCTTCCTTCCTTCCTTTCTTTTTGAGAGGGTTTCAGTACATCACAATCCTCCTGCCTCAGCCTCCCAAGCTGCTGGGACTAAAGACACATCCCCAACTTCTATGGCAGGCCAGGATTTAGACCCAGGCCTCCCACGTGGCCTCTGCCTGCTGAGCAGCAATGTTCAGTGTTACCATGCTGCATCTATGATGTGAATTTATTTATTTGTGAAAAGAGAGAGGAAATGGGCAAAGTGATGCTAAGGCCAGTTCTAAAACAGTGCAGCTATAAATAAACATAGAGCATTTAGGATATAGTCAGGAAAACAATGAATGAATAGATAAAACATTTTAGGAGGCAACACTGTGCAAAGGAAAGGTAAATGCTCTGAAATTAGACATAATTTGGTTAGAATTCCCATCCCACTACTTAGTTATGTGATCTTAGGTAATTTAACCAAATTCTCCTATCTTCCATATCTGTATTAGTAAAATGTAGATAGTAACATTATCTTGTTATAGGCTTAAAAATAATGTCTATAAGGGGTCAGCAGGTGGCATGGTGGTTGGGGCGCTGGACTCCCATGTGGCCAATCTTGGTTCGAGTCCTGGACTTGAAGGCTTGCTTTCTCACTCTCTTTCTCTCTCTGGTGGGCACATGTGCCATATAGCAAATTAAAGAAAAATAGAAATAACAATAAAAATGAAAATTAAATAACTTTTTAAAATGTCTATAGAGTATCCAGAATAATAATTTAACTTAAAAAATAAAGGATAGATATTATTATTGGTGATGGCAAGTCACTTTATTTTTTATTTCTTAAGATTAAAAAATACTTTAGATTGGACTTGCCATGTTCAGCTTCAGATCACCTTTGAGAGGTAGATATTATCATTGTCATTTCCATTTTAGCTCTGGGAAACTGAGGCATAGTGACTAAATAATATGTCCCCAAGGTCTCAAGTGCTGGGATTCTACACTCAATCGTACTGTCAAAGAGTCAGGACTTTTAATCACTAATGCTCTACTCTGCTCAAGCCAACCATCACCAATGTCATTAGTAAAAACTTACCATTGACTGCTCTAAGAAATATTTTTAACAGGAGACAGTTTGGGTAGAACACACAGGAAAATGTTAATATTATAGTTCTTATGGTTGGTGTTAGATACATAGGTGTTCATCAAGACAGGCGTAAGTTATAAATTTTCTCTATCAAATATAACAAAAGTAAAAAAATGGACTCTAGAAAGAATTTGCTATATAACAGAGTGAATGTTTTTCTTATGGAGAAACTATAATCTGTGCACTGTTCTCTACCCTGGACAGCAAGAAATTAGCAACTGAGTGAAATATGTTTCATTTCCTCAGAGTCCTATCTTTGTAGACACTGACAGCTTTTACTCATAAAAGCCAGGTGGCTGGATGTCTCAGGTTCTCCCTGAGACTGGGGCCTTTGAAATGTATCTGGGAAGAGGCCTTTTCTTAGACACTCAAGGATATGCTGGTACTGACCTTAAGAGACGGTTGGTACTATTCTTGAAAAGCACCACCCACAGAGCAAGAACTAGGCGAGCAGACTCTGCAGCTTGTACCTTGGACATATTATGAGGTTAGAAGATGATAAACTAGTGATTCTCATTTCTAGTACCTGTAGCAACTCTGTTTTGTCTCATAGACCAACAGAGTAAATTCTAAGAAAGAGAGAAAGAAAACAAACTAAAAGAAGATGGAGAAAAAGAAAAGAAAAATTCTCAGTTCTCATGGTTCTATTGAGTTACTACTGCTCTCAAATGGGGTCTAAAACATGACAATGTCACCCACAAAAGAAGGGTGACACATGGGGTCAGCAGATGGTGTCATGGTGTGGTGGTTAAGGGCGCTGGACTCCCACATGGCTGACCTTGGTTCAAGTCCTGGACCTGGCAGCTTGCCTTCTCTGTTTCTCTCTTTCTCCCTTTCTCTCTCTCTCTCTCTTACTCTGTCCCTCTCTGGTCAAATGAAAATAATTAAATTAAGTAATAATAACAAAAGAAGGGTAAAACCATGACTATCCAAAGTGAGACAGACTTTGGAAGATACACGCTGTGTCTCTCCATTCAGTTTGTACTGAGGATCTGGAAAACAAAAATAAAAACAAAAACAGACTAGCCTTGGTCATTCATGTTGAGGACTTTACAATTTATACTTCTATTGTTTTAGGTTACAGTATTTAGTTCTTTTTAGAGCAAGACCTGAAACATCAATAAACTATTTTCAGAGTGGAAAAAAAAAGAAAGTAGATTAATAGTTATTTAGGGTTGGTAATAGGCATTGATAGCTAGAGGGCAGATAGGATTTTCTTTTTTGAGGTGATAAAAACAAACAAACAAACAAGAAAATCGAACTACCTACTGTCTAATCAGATTTTGACAAACGTGGGCCAGCAAGGTGGTTTCTTCTATCCCCAATGACGCTTGGAGAACTGACAGCACCTCGTAATCTAAAGAAGTCTTACCAATACTGTGCCTCTTCCTCCTGACACTTCTGACCTAGGTGACACCAAGACACCTTTACTAATAAACAAGGCCTAGAGGAGACAGCTGAGAACCAGAATGTCAATGGTCAGGACACAAAGAGCACTTTAGAACCTAGCAGTTCCATTTTCGTTTTGCTTAGATTAAAGCTGTAGAATATCTGAGGGTCAGATCATCACGTCCGGATGAAAACTAATCTTATTTCACAGGTTTCAAAATCACTTAGAACAGACACTGCTTTCACCTTTCTTTTAGAGATGAGGAAATGAGGCTGATGGGACTTAGGCATACTTGCTCAGTCCGGCAATTGATGTACCAGTGGAAATGTTTAAAATTTCACAGGATTTTGTTTATTTTGATTGTTACTAACAGGCTCTAAATGCAGAGCAA